CTTCCATCGCAGGTTCGAGGACAGAGCCACCGTGGTGTTCAGGGGCTGTACGACCCCTAGCCCAACGCCAGCCCATCTCTAGGGACCCTGGAAGCTCACGATCCCAATGCAACCTCTTGGTGGGATGCAGAGCACACGTTCCCTACCTGTGGAAGGAGACTGGGATTTTCCCACCCCCTGCACGTGACAGATGTTTGTCCCTTCAGTTAAGGTCATCTCCCTGAATCCGCCTCCCTGGTGAGGTGGGTGCCACAGGGCACCCCAATGCAACCCAGGCAGCTCCGTGAGCCTGGAAAACCAGGCACAACTTGGAAATCCCAGAGCTGAAAGTGACCGAACCTACCACTAGCTTTGGCCACTCATCCCACTGCCCTGCCAACACCCTGCCACCAGCCAGCCCCACCACCAGCACCGGCCCTGCCCTCGCAGCAGACTCCCAGGGCAGACATTGCAATTTCAGCGGCGGATAAAGAGGTTTCATTTGGCATCCTCGCTGCCAGCTGCAGGCTCAGCTTATTGGGGGAGGGCAGCGATGCTCTTTGCAGGGACTCGTTTCATCGCCCTGTGCCTTTCAACAGTGTCTCCAGAGTACTTGTCTCAGTAGTAGCCTCAGTGCTGCCTACTCAGTGATGGGGTGGAGGCTGTTTAGACACATGTTTCTTTGTGTGTGGCACTGGGTAAAGAAGCTCAATAATTATTACCAATGGGTTTTCTTTTAAAGACTGTTCTCTTCACCCCATTGATATGGTAAAAATTGGAGAAACAGAATCTCATTTTGGTACTTTGAACCCTCTAAGTACTGGGCAATGCTAAATACTGCAGTGACAGATCACCTGCACTTTCTGTGATTTCCATCAGCTGAGAAGCTGCCCTCCTGTTTCTTTCACCAATAATTATAATTCATCAGCTTTCTATGGTGCTCATTACTGTGGTATTTGAGTGCCTATTTTTACAGGCTTGAGCAGCTTGCTGTACACCATCTCATCTGACTGCAGACAGATGAGCAACCTCTCAGGCTCCCTCTGGAAATGAGCTCTCCACATCCCACACCCTCCCTGTTCTTCCCTTCTGATCACAGCATATGTCTATTATATTTAAAACATTATTAAAAGCATACAGCACAAATAAAGAAGGCAGTAATCAAAGTAACTAGTCGTTGTTCTTCATTAAGATTTTAACTGCCCTAACAAAATTATCCAGCTGTGTATTGCAAAAAACCCAAACAAATTAAACTGAAAAAAAAGGCCCCCAAAAAACAACCTTGGAAGAATCAGAGCCTGAAAATGCTTCCACATTAAATCACGTCAAGGGTTAGGGCTGCGACAGGCACTAAATTGGTTCTGTTTAGCTCAAACCAGGACAAATCACCGCCTGCAGCTTTCGGTTATCAAAGGCCAGAGGGGAAGACATCGCAACACTGACTGAGGGCAAGTTGAACCAAAGGACACACGGGTGTAACGCGGGAAACCCAACACCCCCCTTGGTGTTTTGTCACCCCCTGACTTGAGTGGGTCAGGTGTGCCTGTTTCCTCTTCTTCCTCTTTACTTATCCTTTTCATATAAAAATCAAAATACAAGTGGAACGAGGGCCTCTACAGGGTCCCAGCTGTTTATAAAACCTGGGATATCATTTTACAGTGAGGGAAACCGAGGCACACATCGAGAAAACATTCATTTACACCACCGCAAGGGGCCAAAGCAGAAGAGCTCACTAGGCCCCAGGCTCTTCTGCCTCAACTTCTTGGTAAATTTTTAAAGATGCATCTTTGCAACAACCAAAGTGTTAGTATTAGAAACAAGGGTACACCTGAAACCAGAACTTCTAAATGCTACTGTGAAGAGACAGGGAGGACGGCTTTCTGGTTTCCTTTAGCCTTCTGCTACACTTTCAATCAACAGTTATCTCAGATTTTAACTTTGGTTCCGCTCCTGTTCTTTTTTAGCTACAGAAGCTGGAGAAAACTGGTGTGCCAGCCAGTGCACCCACCACCTCACACCATGTGCCTCTCGCTCCCAAAGCAGCACAACTCCTCCACAAGAGTTTAAGAAAATGAACACCCTCCTGATGTTTTCCAAATCCAGGATCCCAGCGCTGCTAACCTTCATCACTGTTGTCGTCCACGAGGATGATCTCCTTCAGGAGGTGAGCTGGCGTATGATTAACAGCGCTGTGCACCGACCGCAGGATAACGGAGAGCGCTTCGTTCACGAAGATGAAGATGATGGAGATCTGGGGTAGGTCCTTGCTGTATTTCAGCTCTTTGCACCTGCAGCACAAAGGGCAGAGAGAGAGGCGGGGTTAGCAGAGCAGCACGTCGAGTCGGGCACAGATTTAATACGCAGTGTAAGATGGCAGCTGACACCTCACAGCTCTGCACAGCCTTGTGTTAGACCTGTCCACACCCAATTTCAGCAGTGCTGTCTAGGAAGAGATAGTAGCAACAGAGAGTATCCTCTGGGCTCAGAGTGCACCAAGGGCAGGGTGCAAATCCAGAATTCTCTTAACTGAGGCTGTGTTTGCACATCCGTGTACCTACGCCTGTGGGCGCGTAATGAAAAGCAGCCTCCAGAAGAGAGAAAATAGCTTTACCATTTAAAGTGAAACTCCACATTCCTGGTCTGGTTTAAGATTAATAGTTGCTCAGAAATGAGCCTTGCTCCTAATCGGCACTTGTGAATTTTCTTCCCATTTGCTATGGAACGAAATGAATATGAAATGACCCTCAGTTAAATAGTCTTAACAAATGATTTAGCTCTCTTTGCAGATACTTTTTAATAAATTCCTGTCTCTGAAGCATCCCAACAGAGCACAGCCATGTGCTGGGGTCTTTGTACTTCACAGCCAAGCAAAAACTTTCTACCAGCTCCCTGGGTTTCAGGAGTAATTGCTTAGCCCGAGATGGTTCGTGGTTGGGTGTCTGCTTAGACACATTTCTGTGCATCAGAGAGGGATTGAAATGAAAGGAGCTCCCAGGTCACCTATCAGCCAGCTCCATCCCTGGCACGCAACAGCTTCATGTTAGGCAGATACACCAGATCTCAAGGTCAAGGACACTCAGGGAACACAACCAGGGCAGCTCTGAGTGGAAGAGGTCCTCCAGGTAACCCACAGCTCCCCACGGAGCACACATCGTTCCCTAGCACATCAGACGTTGTCTTAATGCCACACTTGATCCTAATCAGAAATCTAATCTTAATAAAGTCTTTGCAGAAAGCAAGCAGGTGATCTTTAGCCACTTCAAAGGATTTAATCAAACTCTCAGCTCGCCCTACCATAAATATGTGCAAGGGAAGAAGAAAACCAGCCTCCCTGCTCCCTCTCTGCATTCATGACAGATTAGACATGCAACATTAGCAGTGTTCGCAGAATTACAAAGACCGTTTACCAAGTAAATCCTGCCCAGATAAGCAAAGAAAGACCAAATGCAGGAACGACACGGCGTCGCTTCAAGCTCACTGACTCCCCAACAATGACTCCTTATTTAATTGTACTGGATGTTTCTTAGGCAACAGCAGGCATTCTTCAGACTCCAAAATGAGTCTTGGGAGACAAAGATTTTCACAGAAACACAGTTCTGTATGAATCTTCTTTAGTTTAACAAGTATGCTGGATAAAAACAAGGTTGTATTCCTTGATTTAACTATTGCCTGCCCTAAAGCAAGCCAAGCTCTCTATAACATGGGAAGATCTCTCTTTAAATTGGATGAGCTAGTCATAACGGGGTAAAGTGGCAATTTACCCTGAAATCCTGTCACGAAAGTCAAACTAAACTGACTCTGAGATTAAAAACCTGCTTCTGATATATGTCGGTACCTGCTAAGTTGAAGAAGTGGTGGTCACAGGACCAAGAGTATTTCCTTTTAATCACTGCGCACCTTTGGGCAGCCTTCCCCCAGGGCACGCTTCAAGGGGATAAAGAGCTCAGTTTGTGATCAAAGAGGTTTGGAGGAAAATCCAGACCAAACCCTTTGAGGTTCATCTCCTGCTCATTCGCATTCACCCTGCACCACTCTTATCATGGCTCTCCTTCCACAATTGCTGAGGACAGGAGAAAAAAAGATACAGGGAGAAGAGATAAGTCCAGGGAAGCAGTGGGCACGTCAAATACCCACATTGTTCCTATGTACAAAGCCACAATTCTCCAAAGGCGGGCGGGCAGAGGTTTTGCATAAACACCCTGCTCTCCAGCGGCTTTGGTTGCAACCACAAGAGCGCAGAAGGCAGCAATTTAAAATCAAACTAACAGCAGATTTGCCCATTTTCCTCATGAGAGGTCTCTTAGTTGCCAGCACAAAAAGCAGCTGGGTTGAGCAGCCACATGCTATCGGACTTCAGCCCCCTGGTCTCCACTGCAGCGGCTTGTTATTGACAAGCTGATGTGTCAACAAATATTTGTGCATGTGTGCAGGAAAACGCTCGGTGCTTCTGGGCTCTCTTGGGGCCAGTGAGGGGAAAAAGCAAAAAAACAAATGCTTGATCTCAAACGTAATTAGAAGGGCCAGCAGAGAACTTGTTACCAACAGCGGTACATGAGATGGGCAGCGGTGGGGTTTCGGTTGGTCGGTGGTTTGGTTTATTTTCTTCTAATAATTTTAAAAAGAAACAGTCCTGATCCAGAGTCTGTGGTTGAGCCTTTTGTTCAGACCATTTACAAGCAGAGGCACAGAGTGTTCACTGTTTTACTCCTTGACACATGTAGGACAGTCCTTTAGGCAGGATTTACTGCCTCACAGCAGGTTGGGACGCCACTGCTCCTGCCCACAGACAGCAGGCAAGGAGCCCATCGCCGGGACCTAGAGAGCTCTGTCCTCCATCTCCACCCTCCCATACCTCCCATGTACCTTTCCAACCATAAGGGGCTGCATTTTCTGCGTAAGGTGGGAAGACGCATAATGTGAAATTTCTGCCCCCTTCAGTTTTTCAAGCACAACCCACAGGAAGGGCACAGAAAAGCTGGCACCAACGCCAAGGCCCTGCAGGAGCAGTGACAAGAGGTTCAGGGAGATGTTCCAAGCTATCAAACCACACCTGAGACACATTTTGCCTCTCTGGCCACAGCAGCCAACCTCAGGGAAGAAAGCATGTGGCTGCTTGCCAGACAGTACGTTCAAAATTCAGATCCCATGCCAAAATATTTCTAGATTCAGGATTCAAGTCTCACTAATTATCTAAAAGGGTCAGAACTGGAATCTAGCACAGCTGTTAAGTCCTCAGCCCAGACCGTGGGCTGGTCTCTTTAGGGATTAGCAATTAATAAGATAAATGTCACATTTGAGAAGGTTCTCAGGGGGACCGAGGCTAAGCAGCACAGGGGAGACAAGAGAAGCTCTAGGAATAAACCTGTTATTCTGAGATTTTTCCCAAGCTTTTCTAGAACTTGAATTAACACCAAAGCAAATCCATTTCTCACATAGGCTGGATAATGTTTGCAGCTCCTCACATCTCCTAGGAGGAGGACATCAGGTTTTACATCTAAAGTTCATCATTACCAAAAAGCCATTTCAGAAACTTTTCCTCAGCTCTTATCAGGTGCTCGTCACCGCACATCTGCACGTGGCCCCAAGGCAGAGGCACTGTGCCACTTCACAAAAGGGCAACACCCGGCCTCCTACATCCAAAAATAATTCTGCCTGGAGAAAACACAAGCAGGCTGCAGTTGATCCCTCTCAATCCCTTCCTTGCTAGACGAGAAACGCTTGGCTGGTACAGCAGAGAACATCACTTGCCAATAACTCTAAACTAATTAGCGCAGGTTAGACTGACATTTTCTCCACTAAATCCTGCTCTCTTTGGTTACGTGTAGGCTGGCACCTGCTTGCAGGACTTATATCAAAATATTGCGAATCGATAGCGAAAAGAAACAGATCCCTTATAGCTTTGTCTCTCATTTAGATCAATGGGATATTGGAGTAAGATGCATTTTATGTCCCATTAAATCACGCTTGATTACGTCCCATTAAATCATGCTCACAAAACTCTTCAACTTTTGAGCAGCTTGGGCAAGCCGCCTAACATATGGCTTTTGGTTTAATTTAAAGATCCTGTTTTCATTGAGAAGTTGTCCCAAAACAGGGGAGAAAGGGGGTTTATTCTGTGCTTGGTCCAGGCTCCCCATTCACCCCACAAAGGGAACCAGGGAGGTGGATGGGTGCAGGGGTCATGGCACTGTTGGACCTGTATTTTACATGAAGCCGAAGTCTGCAATCAGAAGAATGTGCAAGGACACACAAGAAATAAAATAAGTTTAGGGAGGACATTTTTTGCACTGTGAATATGCTGCAGTTACTGCGTTATGTAAGAAGCCATTCAGAAATAAATGACGGATGAGAAGGGGAGATGGGAGAAGGGGAAATATGGCTGAGTTTATGCTGAACAGTTTGGCATACATCAGGCTGTATTAATCAAGGCAGCCAGTTTCAAAACACACTAAAAAAAAAAATAAAAATCAAGTTTTGCTGCTACGTATGTTGGTCTGCTGCAGGAGCCTGCCTTTGAATCCTCCGATCATTTGTTTTATGCTCACCACACAGCTGTAAATCTACTCTTCAGTGCAGCAAGAAAGATTAGGATGTTTATTGGCTGTCTCAGTAACAGAAAAGGGATATCATATCATTCACTGCTTCACGATCGCACGGCAGAAAAATAACCTGGAATCATGGCAAGCACTCCTGGAGCACTAAGAGGCCACAAAAACTGCAAGTAACCTTTAAAAACCACTTCTTCCTGCTCAGTGATTTAACATGATCCACGTTATTACTCGATTAATACACATCAACTGTCTTCTGGGGTGCAAAGCTATTTTCAACAACCACCCAGAATGACACGGTCCAGTATCAGGCAACTGTGCACGAAACTCAGATGGTTCCTACACCTTCGCCACCCCATTACAAGTCATTTATCAGCACTAATTGGTGCAGCTTGTCAACAACCTGCAACATGGACTGTTCCAGGACAGAACAGGCACCCACTTGGCTGATTCTTCAGCTCTAAATCAAACCATGCTTGTGCAGAGCTGATGGTGGACTCCTATGTCAATGGTGTGACTTGATAGAGTGTGTATAGAGCATCTTCTCCTAGGGGTGACAGCTGCTGTCAGGCAGCGCCTTTCACAAATGAACAATTTAATGGAAGAGATGATAATGCACGATATACTTTCAAAGTCCATAACCATGCAAAACTACTGTTATCTCATACTCCTGCAAAAATCAGCCACAGTGTTCAAGTATTAGTCCAGAGAGGAGCTGAACAGACCAGATGTGCAGCTTG